ACATAACAATAAAAAATTTTAAAAAATAAAGGTTTAAGATTAATTGAATTAATAGAATGACTGATTGGATAGAAAAAAACAAGACCCAACTACATGCTGCCTACAAGAGACTAATGTCAGCTTTAAGGACACACATAGGCTCAAAATGAAGGGATAAAAAAAATATTTCATGCAAATGGAAACCAAAAGAGAGAAGGGGTATTTATAACAGATAAAATACACTTTATATTAAAACTATAACAAGAGACATAGGTTACTGTAAAATGATAAAGGGGTCAATTCATCAAGAGAATATAACAATTGTAAAATTATATGCATACAAATTGGAGCACCTTAAAATATTAAGCATATGCTAACGGATCTGAAGGAAGTAATGACAGCAATATAATAATAGTAGGGGACTTCAGTACTCCACTCTCAACAGTGGATAGATCATCTGCCAGAAAATCAACAAGGAAACAGTGGACTTAAACTGTATATTAGACCAAATGAACCCAGTAGACATATACAGTAAATTCCATCCAACAAAAGCAGAATACACATTTTTCTCAAGTACGTGTGGAACATTCTCCAGGATAAATCATATCATGCATCACAAAACAAGTCTTAGCAAATTTTAAAAGAGTGAAATCATACCAAGTATCTTTTCTGACCACAATGGTATGAAATTAAAAATCAGTAACAGGAGGAAAAGTAGAAAATTCACAAATATGTGTAATTTAAGATACTCCTGAACAACCAATGGGTCAAAGATGAAATTTTTTTAAAATCCTGAATTCTTATCACAGGACAATTTTTTTTTCCTTTTTTCTTTCTTTTTTTAATCATATCTATATGAGAAGATGGATGTTAGCTGAACCTATTGTAATCAGTTCACAGTATATGTAAATCAGACCATCATGCTCTACACCTTAAATTTACACAGTTATATATGTCAATTATTTCTTAATAAAAAGGTAATAAATAAATAAATAAAATCTTGAAGCAAAGATGGAAACAGAACATACCATATCTAAGATGCAGCAAAAGCAATGCTAAGAGGGAAGCTTATAGTGACAAACGCTTCCATTAAAAAAGAAAAAAGATCTCAAATAAACAACCTAACTTTATAACTCAAGGAACTAGAAAAATAAGAACAAAATAAGCCCGGGTGCCTGGGTGGCTCAGATGGTTAAGCATCTGCCTTCGGCTCAGGTCATGATCCCAGGGTCCTGGGATCGAGTCCCGCATCGGGCTCCCTGCTCCTTGGGAGCCTGCTTCTCTCTCTCTTTCTCTCTCTCTCTGTCTCTCATGAATAAGTAAATAAAAATCTAAAAAAAAAAAAATTAAAAAAAAAAAAAGAACAAAATAAGCCCTAAGTTAGCAGAAAGAAGGAGGCAACAAAGATGACAGTAAAAATAAGTAAAATAGAGATTGGAAAAACAGTAGAAAAGATTGATGAAACTAGGACATGGTCTTTCAAAAGGAGAAACAACATTGGCAAACCTTCACCTAGACTTACCATGAAAAAGAGAGGACTTAAATAAATAAAACTTGAAATGAAAGAAGAGATAATACAACTGATATCACAGGTATACAGAGGATCATAAGAGACTACTATGAACAATTATACATCAACCAACTAGACAACCTAAAAGAAATGGATAAATTCCTAGAAGCATAAAATCTATGAAGTCGGAATCATGAACTAGAAACCCTGAATAGACCAATAATAAGAACGGAGATTTAATCAGTAATTCAAAACCTCTAACAAAGAAAAGCCCAGGACCAGATGTCTTTACAGGTTCTGTGAAATTGTTAAAGAAGAATTAACACTACTGTTAAACTCTTGCAAAAAATTGAATAGGAGGAAAACTCCCAAACTCATTTTATAAGACCAGAATTACCCTGATACCAAAGCCAGGTAAGGATACTATGAAAAAAACAACAACAAAAAACCACAGATCAATATCCCTGAAGAATATAGATGCAAAAATTCCCCACAAAATATTAACAAATTGAATTCAGTAGCACATTAAAAGAATCATACACCATGATCAAAGGGAAATTATACCAGGGATGCAAGGATGGCAACATATGCCAATCAATAAATGTGATACACCACATTGATAGAAAAGACAAAAATTCTATGATCATCTCTATAGATACTAAAAATGCATTTGACAAAATTCACCAATGTTTTATGATAAAAACTCAACAAATTGGGTATAGAAGTAATATATCTTGACATAATAAAGCCATATATGATGAATTTGCAACTAGCATCATATTCAACAGTGAAAAGTTAAAAACTTACTCTCCAAGATAAGGACCAAAACAAGTGTGCCCACTCCTTCCATTCCTATTCAACATAGTATTGAAAGTCCCAGCCAGAGTAATTAAGCAAGAAAAAGAAATAAAAGGCATAAAAATAAAAGGAAGAAGTAAAATTGGCTCTGTTTGGGGATGATGTTATATGTAAAAATTTTTTAAAGATTTCACCAAAAAACTGTTAGAACAAGTCAGCAAATTAAGTAGTTTTAGGATACAAAATGAACATGAAAAGATCAGTTGTATTTCTCTACACCAATGATGAACTACCTGAAAAAGAAATAAAACGATTTCATTTACAATAGCATCAAAAACAATAAAATACTTAGGAATAAGTTTAACCAAGGAAGTGAAAGATTTATACACCCAAAACTGGAAGACATAGAATTGATGTCCTGATGGAAGAAATTGAAAAAGACACAAACAAATGGAAAGATATATTCATGAATCAAAAGTGTTAATGTTAAAATGTCCATACTACCCAAAGCCGTACTACCCATTCAAGGCAATCATGATCAAAATTCAAATGACATTTTTCACAGAAATAGAAAAATCAGTCCTAAAATTTCTATGGAACCTTGAGTTGCCAAAGCAATCTTGAGAAAGAACAAAGCTGGAGTCGTCATGTTTTCTGACTTCAAATTATATTACAAAGCTATAGTAATTAAAACAGAATGGTGTTGGCATAAAAACAGGCATGTAGCTCAATAGAACAGTATAGAGAGCTCAGAAGTAAGTCCACTCATATATGGTCATTAAATTTATGACAAAAGAGCCAAGAATATACAATGGGAAAAGGACAATAAATGGTGTTGGGAAAACTGGACAGCCATATGCAAAAGAATGAAAATGCACCATTATCTTACACCATGCAAAAAAATGAACTCAAAAATAGATTAAAGACCTGAGTGTAAAACCCAAGATCATAAAACTCCTACAAGAAGATATAGGTGGTAAACTCCTGGGTATTTGTCTTGGCAGTGGTTTTTTGGATTTGACACCAAAAGCAAAGATCAACAAAGTAAGACCATATCAAACTAAAAAAACTTCTACAGAACAAAAGAAACAATCAACAAAATGGAAAGGCAACTGCGGAATGGGAGAAAATATTTGTAAACCATATATCTGGTAAGGGATTAATACCTAAAATGTATAAGGTACTCTTACAGCTTAATAGCAAAGGAACCCAAATAATCTGATTTAAAAATGGGCAGAAGACTTGAATAAACATTTCTCCAAAGAAGACAAACAAATGGCAAACAGGTACGTGAAAAGGTGCTCAACATCACTCATCATCAGGGAAATGCCAATCTAAACCACAAAGAGGTATCACCTCCCATCTGTTAGAACAGCTCTTATCAAAAAGACAAGAGTAACAAATGCTGGTGAGGATGCGAAGAAAAGATAACATTGTGCACTGTTGGTGGGAATGTAAATTGGCACAGCCACTATGGAGATTCCTCAAAAAATTAAAAATAGAACTATCATGTGATCCAGCAATTCCACTTCTGGGTATATATCCAAAGGAAATGAAAACAGGATATCAAAGAAATATCGATACTCCCATGTTCATTGCACCGTTATTCACAATAGCCAACACATGGAAACAACCTAAGTGTCCATTGATGGGTGAATGGATAAAGAAAATGTGATATTAAATACATAATAGAATATTATTCAGCCATGACAAGGAAATCCTGCTATTTGCAACAACATATATGGACCTTGACGGCATTATGCTAAGTGAAATACATTAGGGAAAGACAAATACCATATGATCTCACTTATATGTGGAATCTAAGACCATTGAACTCATAGAAACAGAGTAGAATAGTGGTTACCAGGGGCTGAAGGGTGGGAGAAATGGAGAGTTGCTGGTTGAAGGGTACCAACTTTTAGTTATAAGAGGAATAATTTCCAGGAAGCTAAGGTACAGCATGGTGACTATAATTAATGCTGTATTGTATACTTGAAAGTTAATTTGAGAGTAGAATTTTAATGTTCTCACTATAAAAACTACAAAATGGTAATCACGTGAGGTGGATAATGTGTTAACTAAATCTTAAACCTACAATGTTATATGTCAGTTATATCTCAATAAAGCTGTGGGGAAAAGATTTATTGCATTAAAGGTACGCAGTTTGGCCTGTGACTTAATGCTCAACATAGAGCGTTTTTCTCTTTTGATTTAGGGCAATGTCAAAATACCAAAACAGCAGGTCAGCTAATTCCATTCAATCCAACCCGTCGCTTGATGTATACGTCAAGTAGGCAGATGATTGACTGACTCTTGTTTTGCCTTTGTATGAAAGAGATAGTCTCTTTCTTACTCAAGCATGCCAAGAACTATTTATATGGGGGCAGTGGTTTTAATCAAGGGAAGGTCTCTCTTACCTTTGTTCTAACTATATAAAGAACAGTCATGAAGTCCCTACACATTCTGGTTAGCAGTTATCGCCCTTCTGTTCTCTGTGCAAATTGTAATCCTCCCTTATGATTTATGGATATCTGTTTTTATGTTGATGGCTGAAAGACATTATAGCAACCCCTGATAGCTGATTCTTAGGTCAACTGCAATGATCTCTTACTTGCTTTTCTGAGAAATAAGCTATTGGGTTAAGGATTAAGAACCAGTAGCTTGGAAAAAAAATGTTTTTCTTATTTACCTGCTCCGTGTTGGTGTGCTCTAGGTTCGTTCCAGTGGAAAGACATGAAAGCATTGCATATTAACTATGTGCAGGCCAGGCATCTGAGGATGGAACCAACAGCTGACCAGTTCATGGTGTATGTCACAGATGGGAAGCGACGCTCCTTGGAGATACCATTTTACATTATCATCAACCCCACAAATGATGAAGTTCCTGACTTTGTAGTGCAGAATATTACTGTAAGAAAGACAACAGAATTTTCAATTTCTTCTTTTTATCATTTTTTAATTTTTTAAATCATTTTATGATTTTATTTTCACCTAATTCATTTACATTGGTCCAGGTGCACTTAATCCATTAAGTTGATAGGGAATGGGGAGAACAGTAACCTATATTATAGAATGCAATTACTTGAAAAATATTATTCTAATAATGGTGGTAATGATTATAACTGCAAACATAGAGAATTGCATGGTTGCAATTATAGTTGCATAGATATAGGATGGAGTACTTGCTAGGTCATAGGTAGTATTTCAAGTCCTTTACATGTGCTCATGTAAAGGCTTACAAGGCTTTTAGGGTGATGATATTATTATTGCCTTTTAGTAACTGAAAAAATGAGGCACAGAGAGGTTAACTGAGCGGCCCAACATCACAGAGCTTGGAAATAGGTGGCACATAGGGAATGGTACATAGGGGATTTGCACCCAGGCAGTTTGATTCCATAGCATGCCCTCTTAACCTATGCTATAATGACAAGGACTCTTAATTCATATATATTAAGGCATCTTTTTATATAGTTTTTTAAAGATTTATTTATTTTGAGAGAGAGCACATGAGCAGGGGGCAGAGGGAGAGGCAGAGAGAGAATCGTCAGGCAGACTCCGAGCTGAGTACAGAGCCTGATGGGGGCTCGATTTCACTACCCCAAGATCATGACCTGAGCCAAAACCAAGAGTCGGACACTTAACCGACTGAGCCACCCAGGCGCTTCTTCATATAGCTGTTTATAAGGATAGATGAAATGAAAAAAATACAATTTGAATCATTCTTTTTATGTAGTTTCTAGAACTATTTTTATATGATAATGTTTGTTAGTTTTATTTAAAAATTCAGATAGATAGTTAAAATGGCCATAAATAGGCATGGGCGGAGCAAGATGGCGGAGGAGTAGGAGACCTGGATTTCGTCTCCTCTCAGGAATTCAGCTGGATAGGGATCAAACCATTCTGAACACCTACAAACTCAACAGGAGATCGAAGAAAAGAAGAGCAACAACTCTCTCATCAGAAAAGCGACCACTTTCTGGAAGGTAGGACGTGCGGAGAAGTGAATCCGAGGCGATATTCGGGAGGATAGACGGCGGGGGAGGGGCCTCCGTCGGCCGCTTCTGGCAACTGATAGAGCCGCGGAGCACAAAATCGGAACTTTTAAAAGTCAGCTCCGCCGAGGGACGTCACTCTGGTGGCTCAGCGGGGGGTGGAACCCTCCGGGACAGTGTGGTCTCAGGACCCTCGGGGTCACAGAAAGACCGGGGGTGCCTGAGGGCAGCAGAGCTCCCAGGTAACGCAGCAGGGAAGCCGGCTGCAGAGGCGGAGCCCAGGCGCGGGCTCTCAGCTGGGGTTGCCATTAACCGCGATCCGCGGCCCAGTCGGGCCCCTGCTCCTCCAGCAGGGACCCAACAAGCGGCCGATCCGGGGAGACTCACCTTCCTCCCCCGGGAGGAGCCGCGCGGGAGTGCACCGCAGGGATCTGCTGGGTTTGGAGACTCCAGACCGGGTCCGGTGCCAGAGATAGAAACGCGTGGTCACAGGCCGGTTGAGCACGGAGTGCAGCTGCAGACCGGGGAGACGGGAGTGACTGACGGCTTTTCTCTGGGGGCTCACTGAGGAGCGGGCCCGAGTTCTCGGCTCCTCCGGGGCGGAGATTGGGAGGCCGCCATTTTCACTCTCCGCCTCCAAAGCTGTACGGAAAGCTCGCAGGGAACAAAAGCCCCGGAGAGCAAACCCGAGCAGATTACTTAGCCGGGAGGGGGCAAGGGCGGGGCAATTCCGCCTCCGGCAGAGACATTTGGAAACCAGGGCAACAGGCCCCTCCCCAGAAGATCAGCGAGAACAGCCAGCCAAGACCAAGTTTACCGATCAATGAGAACAGCAGAACTCCAGCGCTAAGGGACTACTGCACATAGAATTCACGGCTTTTTTACCATGATTCCTTAGTCTTTTAAAGTTAATTTTTTTTTTAACTGTCTTTTTATTTCTTTTTGAATTTTTCTTTTTCCCTTTTTCAAACAACATCTTATCAATCCCTTTTTTTAAAAAAAAACATTTTTATTTTTCATTTTTAGAGTCATATTCTATCCCTTCATAGTAGTTACCCATATTTTTGGCTTATATATATAAGTTGTTCTCTCTTTAAAATTTTGAGATAGTTTCTTCTAACAGATTAAAATATACCCTAAATCTCTAGTATATGGTGTTCTCTATTCCCCTGCCTGATCACATCCTCTCCCTTTTTTTTTCTTTTTCTTTTTTCTTTTTTTAAATCCTCTTTCTTTTTTCAAACAACTTCTTATCAATTCCTTTTATAAAATTTTTTATAATTTCCATTTTTACAGTCATTTTCCATCCCTTCATCATATCAACCCTTATTTTTGTACATATATAAGTTTTTCTTTCTTTAAAATTTTGGGAGACACTTTCTTCTAAAAGACCAAAACACACCCCAAATCTAGTGTGTGGCACTGATCTATATACCATATAGATCATATTTGATCACATTCTGGTTTTTCTTTTGTTGTTGTTCTTTTGTTTTGTTTGTTGTTGTTTTTATCTTTTTCTTTTTTTTTCTTTTTTTTTCTTTTTTTTTTTTTTCTCTCTTTCCCCTTCTTATCCCACTGCTTCAGGTCTTTTCTGATTTGTTTAGAGTATATTTTCTGGGGACGTGGTTACTCTGCTAGCATTTTGTTCTCTCATTAATCTATTCTCCTCTGCACAAAATGACGAGACGGAAAAAATCACCTCAACAAAAAGAACAAGAGGCAGTACCGACTGCCAGGGACCTACTCAATACGGACATTAGTACGATGTCAGATCTAGAGTTCAGAATCATCACTTTAAAGATACTAGCTGGGCTTGAAAAAAATATGGAAGTTATTAGAGAAACTCTTTCTGGAGAAGTAAAAGAGCTAAAATCCAACCAAGTAGAAATCAAAAAGGCTATTAATGAGGTGCAATCAAAAATGGGGGCACTAACTGCTAGAATAAATGAGGCAGAAGAGAGAATCAGTAATATAGAAGATGAAATGCTGGAAAATAAAGAAGCTGAGAAAAAGAGAGATAAACAACTACTGGATCATGAGGGCAGAATTCGAGAGATAAGTGATACCATAAGACGAAACAACATTAGAATAATTGGGATCCCAGAAGAAGAAGAAAGAGAGAGGGGGGCAGAAGGTATAATGGAGCAAATTATAGCAGAGAACTTCCCTAATTTGGGGAAAGAAACAGGCATGAAAATCCAGGAAGCACAGAGAACCCCTCTCAAAATCAATAAAAATAGGTCAACTCCCCGACATCTAATAGTAAAACTTACAAGTCTCACAGACAAAGAGAAAATCCTGAAAGCAGCTCGGGAGAAGAGATATGTAACCTACAATGGTAGAAACATTAGATTGGCAACAGACCTATCCACAGAGACCTGGCAGGCCAGAAAGGACTGGCAGGATATATTCAGAGCACTAAATGAGAAAAATATGCAGCCAAGAATACTCTATCCAGCTAGGCTGTCATTGAAAATTGAAGGAGAGATAAAAAGTTTCCAGGACAAAAAAAAACTAAAGGAATTTGCAAACACAAAACCAGCCCTACAGGAAATCTTGAAAGGGGTCCTCTAAGCAAAGAGAGACCCTAAAAGCAACATAGACCAGAAAGGAACACAGACAATATATGGTAACAGTCACCTTACAGGCAATACAATGGCACTAAATTCCTATCTTTCAATAGTTACCTTGAATGTAAATGGGCTAAATGCCCCAATCAAAAGACACAGGCTAACAGACTGGATTAAAAAACAAGATCCATCGATATGCTGTCTGCAAGAGACTCATTTTAGACCCAAAGACACCCCCAGATTGAAAGTGAGGGGGTGGAAAACCATTTACCATGCTAATGGACACCAAAAGAAAGCTGGGGTGGCAATCCTTATATTAGACAAATTAGATTTTAAACCGAAGACTGTAATAAGAGATGAGGAAGGACACTATATCATACTTAAAGGATCTATCCAACAAGAAGATCTAACAATTGTAAATATCTATGCCCCTAACATGGGAGCAGCCAATTATATAAGGCAATTAATAACAAAAGCAAAGAAACACATCAACAACAATACAATAATAGTGGGGGACTTTAACATCCCCCTCACTGAAATGGACAGATCATCTAAGCAAAAGATCAACAAGGAAATAAAGACTTTAAATGACACACTGGACCAAATGGACTTCACAGACATATTCAGAACATTCCACCCCAAAGCAACGGAATACACATTCTTCTCTACTGCCCATGGAACATTCTCCAGAATCGACCACATCCTAGGTCATAAATCAGGTCTCAACCGGTACCAAAAGATTGGGATCATTCCCTGCCTATTTTCAGACCACAATGCTTTGAAACTAGAACTCAATCCCAAGAGGAAAGTCGGAAAGAACTCAAATACATGGAGGCTAAAGAGCATCCTACTGAAGAATGAATGGGTCAACCAGGAAATTAAAGAAGAATTAAAAAAATACATGGAAACTAATGAAAATGAAAACACAACTGTTCAAAATCTTTGGGATGCAGCAAAGGCAGTCCTAAGAGGAAAGTATATAGCAATACAAGCCTTTCTCAAGAAACAAGAAAGGTCTCAAGTACACAACCTAACCCTACACCTAAAGGAGCTGGAGAAAGAACAGCAAATAAAGCCTAAACCCAGCAGGAGAAGAGAAATCATAAAGATCAGAGCAGAAATCAATGAAATAGAAACTAAAAGAACAGTAGAACAGATCAACGAAACTAGGAGCTGGTTCTTTGAAAGAATTAACAAGATTGATAAACCCCTGGCCAGACTTATCAAAAAGAGAAGAGAAATGACCCAAATCAACAAAATCATGAATGAAAGAGGAGAGATCACAACCAACACCAAAGAAATACAAACAATTATAAGAACATATTATGAGCAACTCTATGCCAGCAAA